AAACCATAAATGTCATATTGGGGGGAAACAAGAAAAAAAATATGATCAGGATCGAATACTTATTAAAACCTGATAGAAAAAAAACGCGTTCTGAGGCGGGGGAGGGGAGCCGCAAAATGGCCTTATCCGCCGTCGTCCTTTATATGTTTAAAACCTTTGATTTATAATGTGTGTCGGATCTATTTAAAAAGTTAAACTTGGTCCTTTAACAGCCATTTGACGCATGTAAGATGCAATTCCTCGTTGGACATTATATTGCTTATTGTTATCAACATCATTTAATGCACGACGATCCTCAAGAGACAATTCGTGAAGAAATGATTTTCTAAAAAACAGAATACTTGGATTACGAACAAGAAAAGCAGCTAGTCTCCATTTTCGAATATATCTTGATGGTTTCTTTTGTTTCGATACAAGTTTTCCTTCGAGTAGAAAACCATCTAAATCAATCTTAGTCATTGCATATTGTTGTTTTTTAATTTCACTAAATAAATGTGAAACGAATACTAACATAACTGGATGTCGATGAGTACATTCTGTATGAATAAAACCACAATAAGCGTTAAAACCACTATCGAATGATTCTAATTTTCGACCTAATGGTGAATAATCTAAGCGAGCCATATAAAGTGTTGTGGCAATAATACTATTAACAAAACGTAATATGGATGAAACAAAACCAAGAAAAGCATCTAAGAAGAAATTAAAATAAATAAATATCATAAAAAGACGACGATGGTTCAGTGCTAAAACATCTCCATAATGTTGTAAGAAAATATATTGTGCCAGCAGCTTATTTAAAAATGATTTATAAGTAACAAGTAAAAGACTTGGTAGAATAAATTTTAAAATTTTTTCGAGTACTTCGACACTTCCATATGTAATTAATGTACCTATAGAAATACAAAACGCTGTCGAGAAAACTGCTATAATAATAAAAGCCCATATAAAATAACCAATAAAATATCCAGCAAAATGAAAATTTCCTACAGCATATGACACATAGTTTGATCTTTGTCTTCGTGGTATTTCACTATCATCACCACGATATGCCTGTAATAAATTTCGACGTATACTAGCTAACAATACCAATAATTGTATAATAATAATGATTACAGCCATAGCTATGCCACATAAGTATGGTATTGCTAAATTTGGTAGTGGAAAAGTTAATAAAAGCCGAGATTCACTATCATCATCGTGAGAGAATATGTTGATTGTTAACTCAATTATAACAATGATAGAGTCAATTATGGTTTGAAGATGGTCTTGAACACGATCTAATGAAGGTAGAATATCTACACAAGCTTGAATAGTAACAAAGAAAAGTAAAAAGAATATGGATGAATAAAGACATAAAACACGAGATGAAAATTGAAAATCATCTCTCCATTCATAGATAGATTTTGGTATTAAACGAGCAAATAGTGCTCGACTATGAGGTCTTTGATTTGCTGAACGAAATAAATTTCGTACATAAAGCATTTCAATCGAATTTCGATGAGACGCACTAAGTAAAAGCCTTTCTTCTCGTGTTAATGGCACTAATATTTTATTTTTTTCTGTGAAATATCTTTTTCGCTGAATATGCATTTTTTCTACTAACATTACTGGTAATTTAACACTAATATAAGCTAAACAAAGATATCGTGGAATATCACTACACACTTCTATAACAATTAATGCTGGGCCAGTACCATAATAATCCAATATCTCATAAATATCAGTTGAATTTTGCAAATAATGCTCATAAGTTGGATAATAAGCCGGATAGCACATCCCTTGAGTAAGAATTGTAAATGAATAATCAAGCCATGCATATATTGTTGCACACAATAATGTAACTGTCGAATTGATATAAACAGAAGACAATATAGGATAAAATCGACAGCCCATGATTATCACTTGAAAAAGACGTAAAAGAAATGTAACAAGAATACCTTTCTTTGAATCTGATGAGTAGTCAAGTTGTAGTACTACTGCTAACAATTCATCGGCTATAATGGCAAAAACAACAGCAGCAAACTTTCGATCTAAGTGTGAAAGAAAATCAACAGATATTGGTGGTGCTCCGTATCCATAGCATCTATTTCGCATAAGTGACATTCGCTTGGTCATTAATATACAAATGATGATAAGTAAAAAACCAACAGAAACTGTCACGACATTGAATTCTGCAATATCAAGTGCGTCACAAAAAGATGTTCTGTTAAAATAGATTGGTTGTTTATTTTTATATCTATCAACTATTTCATCATGAATCTCTGTTAGAGCTAAACATTTAGTAAGAAGAGTTCCAGTAGCAACAAGAATCACCAAAGTAGCAATAACACGTGATGATACTGGAGTTGATTTTTTCACAGGTTTAATTACTATATCTATAAGTGTTGTGTCTTGTAACGCTTCCCTATATTTAAAACTATATATTGAAAAATAGTTCAATATGTATTTACTTTTCCTTGTTTTCTTTTCGTTTTTTGCGTATCTTGTACAAATTTCGAATGATTTGTAAACTATAGAAAATGACCATAATTATTGCCGTCAAACAAGCAAGTATAATGACTTGTTTTCCACTATTTGATTCTGAAAAAAAAAGCTTCTTAAATTATTTTAAGTGATATAAAAATCGGAGAAAAAACTTACGTTGGTCACAGAATTCTCCTTCCCACCAAAATTTACATTCACATGATATCTCGCCTTGTACCAGATGACAATAGCCATATTCTCCGCATTTATTTTCGGAGAGACAAGCTGGATAAGATTAGATTATAAAAAGAGAAAATTCTTAAATTTGATTACTTACCCTTTTTTCCATTAAACATAATGAATAATAAGAAAATAAATAAGATTTTAAAAATAATATTTATTATTTAGTTAAGATTACTGTCTATAATTGTATTTCTCTTACAGCTTGTTACTATATTGATTAAAAAAAGAAATATGTTACGCATGATGTACTTTCTTTGTTTACGCTCATGCGTAATCTGTGCTGTCTATTTCTTTTTCTGTTCTGATTTTTATACTGATACGAAATTATTTGAAATGATTCGTAATAAAATATTTGTGTTCTTGTTTTTCGATATAACCATCAGATATAAGCAATATCGATCGAACTATAAAAAGAAGTATTTCATTTGACAATATACCTTGACATGTAATTATAAATTATATGGATATAATGAAATGTGGGTATGGAGAAAAAAAATATATTGATCATATCCAGTACTGATCACAAAGACTTTCTTGAGACAAAACAGGGTCAATGAAATAATCTATCATAGTTATAACATGTCAACTAAAAAACTATACTATTACACATGAACTATGTGAGTCAGAAAATAAAAACATGCGTTATACATAAAATTCGAAGGATAAGTATGCTACGATTTCATTTATAACTATGCTTGACAGATCACAATACTGATAAATCCTTGATTGATTGATGCACATCACAGTATAGCTAAATAATAACTATCGAAAAAATAATTAAATGTCATTTTCTTTTTTTTTTTGAAAAAAGTGATAGGAAAATCTAATGATTTCATATCGTAATATCTCTTTATGAAATCTGAATGCTGTATGACATATCTGTTCGTTTTAAGCTGAAAATCCATCTATATTTGTTTTTCATTCTTTAATCTTAATTAGATTTATTGTCTTGAAAACTAACCTTATTTTTAATGTAATCATAGAAATCATCATAATATTAAGTAATCTTTTGATACAATCTTTAAGATTAAAATTATATTTTTGATAGCTAGCAATAGTTTTCTTTTATATTCTGAATTCATTGAAAAAATATGACCGTTTAAAATGAACAAAAGAGATGGCAAAATAATTTCTGTCTAACGAGAATTGAGGAATGTACTGGGCAGTTTATTTTAAGTTACAAGATTCAATGTAATTATTATCCTCAATTTTTCTGATCATTTTTGTTTGTAAATTATTTTTCATAAGAATATATTTTCTGTTATTCTCTTATTTTTCATTGAGAAAATAATAAAAATTTAAGTTCAACTAAAATTAGTTAACAATGTAAGAATTTGATTCAACAATGAACAAGAAACTAAATGATTCAGAAGTCTGATTTTCTCAAATCAATAAAATAAATGAAAATATCATTTTACTAATATATTAATGGAGAAATTTCTCTTTATAGATATCGATGTCTCTGTTATAAATATTATTTTCTAGTGACAGCTCTTTGTGTAAAACCTTGAAGGTAAAGTTCATGGATATATCCAAGTTGTTGTATTCTTTTTCCATATGTACTATGTATTAGTGATGTGACAGTTAGAGATGCACTTGATTAGTGAGGACGTTTGAAGGCTTGCTGGAACCGAAGCTACAGGAAAAAGAAGTTGCCAAGAGACTGGAACCAGAACATCAGGTTACAATGGATGAGTCATAAGGAATGGGATTAAGTGTAAATACAATTTTTCAATTATTTATTATTCATATAATATATTCACGTATGTATTAGAAGATGAAGAATAATTTGAAGCTCTACAAAACTATGTACATCACTTTTTCTAATTTTGAAACAACTATCACACTGACGCACGTTGTACATTCCTGCTGCGACAGTAAAAACAAACGAAAACATGTGTGACATTGTTACGGAGAAATTCATTAGGTTTCTACAACAAACCAATATTCTCGATGAAATCGTCTTTTTTTTTTGACTATGTTTCGAAACTTTAAAAAATAGTTTCATATAAAATATGATGACACAAATAGTGAGGAAAAAACAAAATTTTCCGTTCATTTGAAGATTTGCTCGAGTTTTTACAAATTTTCTTGACAACATATAGCAATGGAGTTCACCATGCACATAGTCTTGTAGAATATTGAAATCCTGCATTTTGTAGTGTTCGAATAGGGACTTTATAACTGAATTCTATTTTAGAAGAAATTTCATTGTTTAGAGAAACCTGCCAAAATCACCATGAAGGATATTTTCAAATTCTTACAAAAATTTTGGATACCCAAAAGTGAACTAGAAAAATAGAATACAAATTTCTGTACTTTTTTGTCGTTTAAAATTCTTTGCCTTCGAGATCTCTCATACTCTTGCAAAAGCATCAGCAACGACGTGTACAACTGGAATATACACTATATATACGTAAATGTTTAGATTGCCATGCACAGACAAGATGTTCTTTTAAAAAGTGAAGCTTTTACTATTGTAAAACTTGAAATTCTTTGTCTTTTGGCATATGAACAAATGTTTTGTATGAATTTAAATGAGAAGAAAATTTTATTTACATAGAATTCGATTCATTATGGCCCAAATTTTAATTTAATATTCTATGGACCGAGATTAACACTGGATTAGAATTATTGAGGTCGTAATCGGGAGCATTAGTAAAGTTACTGCGACTCGACTGGACCTGAGAGTACAAAAACTTGGCCTTGCATATCTCTAGTGACTGGCTAAGTTCATGAGTTGCTGGTAGTTGTCGTAAGAGACTTGGTACCTAGGATCAGTTGCTTCAAAAAGAATCGTTCAACCAACTCTTTTCCAATCACATGGAACTATCGATTAGCTTGTTCGAGACAAACTAATAATTGATAGTATCACAAACTGACTAGGATTTTGTTTTCTTTTTTTGCTTTTTCCAATAATAACATATCCATTTTTATTATTGAAGTTCAATGTCGTTTATCTTATTAGACAGAAAATCAAAACAAACTATTTTAGATGGATTCTCTTTTTTTTATTTACTTTTTCACAGAATAAAGAAAAAATAAATATACTGCTAAGAAACAAAAATTATAGAAATGGTGTTTTTTCGAAAACATACGTCGATATTTTAATAAAGAATTTGAAAAAAATTCGAAAAATTTCTTTTTTCGTATTTCATAACTAAAAAGTTTCATTAACAGTTCATCAATAACTATTAGTTTATAACATTCTGCATGATTCTAGTTTGTACTGTTGAATTTAAATCAAAGCAACAAGATCTACTATGACTTTTGCTTCTATTCATTTGAATGAAATCTGTTGCTATGCCATCACTAATATGATTATTTACTATAAAAAATACAATTATATCTTTCTTATGTTTGATCAAATACAGTCAAGATGTGCTTGTAATTAAATAAAACTATCTGCTATGAATTCTATGGCAGATGTCTAAAATAAAAATACAAAAAGCACAATCTTGTTATTTATCTTTCTAACTATAGTTTGATTTATTTTTCTTAAATAAGAAATGAATACTTTCTTTTTTATTTTTCATAAGATATTTAACAAATAAAAAACTTTAAATTAATGAGGTGGATAAGGAGGAGGCATATTAGGAGGATAATAGAGAATCGAAGGAAGAACACTTCCATTATTTGGTGGAGGATTATACATTGGCGGCATAAAATACGGATATTGAGGCATTGGTCCTTGATATTGTGTATATCCTTGGTAACCTATATTTTCTGTATATCCAACATTATGTGAAGGCATCTGCTCTGTATTTGTCATTCTAGAAAAAATTAAGACAAAAAAAAATATCATAAATATAATTTTTAAAAAATTTCAAAAACTAACCGTGAACGAATATCTCGTCTAACGTGTTCATTTTTAAAAGGATGAAACCAATTATTAGGTCTTTGACGAACATGTTCCCATGTCCAATTTTCTCGAAATACAATTGTACTTAATTCTGGTGGATTAATAACTTTCAAATGATTTTGCATAGCTATTGTATTAAACATATATTCAATAAATGGTAGAAAACGTCTTTGTTTTACATAATTAGCAATTTTATCTAATAATCTTCGACTACAACCAATAGCACAAACCATTGAATGATACCATGGTGGTGAAAATTTTCCAACAACATCAGCCCATTTCCATGCTGATGTATCACCATATAAATTTTCATCATTTTTTTGACAAATTAAATCACCACCATTGTTTTCATTTGAATATTTATTATGCAAGAGAAAAAATGCATCAACTGATGGAATAAATGAATCATCTTCAATTAACCATACAAATGAATAATCATTTTGTTTTATTTGACAAAAATAATATATTGCTTTATCCCATGATATACAATCTTTATTCATTTCAAGTTTATTTGATGAATGATAACCATTTGATATACATTCATTATTATTTATTTGTATAAAATTTATTAATGAATTTGATTGTATCTGAAAATTATTATCATCGACCATAATATAAATATCAACATTGGAAGCTAATCGAGAATCCCGTGCTAATTCTTCAGCAAATTGAATTGTTTCAGAATCAGGTATACGAGTTAAATAACAAACGGCACTTTTTTTGCTATTCATTTCGGATATTTTTTTCTTTATGTTGGACTTATCTGGTTAAAACATCGAGATTTATACAATGACAACAAAAAATAATGACTGTTAGATAAGAAACAACAAAAAAAAAAAAAAAGCTGTTTTTTCTTTTCTTCCTCACTCTCTGTCAATTATACACAAATGATTCATATTCTCAAATAGATTTCTATATATATCCAGTAGAATATTCATCATTGCTATTTTCACCATCGTAAATCAATGATGACGCTGGTGATGTTTGTGATGATGACCATTGTAAATGATTCATATGTTGATTTGATTTTGGATCTATTTGTTGTTCTAAAAGAACAAAATGAATAATAAATTTTTAAGACCGTAAAAACAAAATGAAATTTTATCTTTTGTATTTACCTGTTGATAAATGAAGTGTATCGACAAGATTAAGATTATTATTATTATTATTTGTTAATGTTGCATATGTAGGTGGTGAACTTGTTGTTGCACATGGTTTTTTTTTCATTCGAGCACGAGCATTTTGAAACCATATTTGTGTTGTTCTTTTAGTTAAGGCTATTGAGCAAAAAAAGAAACAAATGAAATACAAAGAATATTTTTCATTATATATTTAAGAGAAAAAGAAAAACAAAAAAACAATAACAACAACAAATTTAAATAACGCACTATCACCACTTTTGTTGGAACTTGAACTGCTGCTACTGCTACGTGTATTTCGTCTTCGATGATTTGTTTCTTGCTGAATATAACAATGATGTGAATGAGAATGAAGATGATGTTCGTGCTGAGGTTTTCGATCGCGTACCTTCTTCTGTCGAGCTCGAGTATTTTGAAACCATACTTGAATCACACGTTTACTTAATCCTAGAACACATCAGATCAAAGATGTGAATTAGAATAGCACGAACATCATAATCTCAAACAGCAAGAATAAAAGAGTTATCTTAGAATTGGATATTTTAAAAAATTACCTCGAATAGAATAGATCAAATACACTAAAAGTATTTTGAAAAAAAGAAAAGAAATTTTTGCCAAATAAAGTTACTATCTCTGGATTAATTGAAATTTTAAACTCAACCATATAAAACGAATTCTCATTAGACTCATATGATTATTAAGTTATTATAGCCTATTCTCATTTGAACATCGACTGAAATATAAAATATTTCTTTTTTTTTTTCTCTGAGCTTATAAAATTTTGTTTGTTAAGATATTTTTTCCATAGAATTAGTGATGAACCTGAAAGATATACTCAACCCCTTCCAGAAATCTTTGAATTGTTCTCTAGAAATGAGACGAGCCTATATTATAGGCGAAGAAAACACCTGTTTTTCAGTTTCAAACAAGTGTTGAGCCTCTTCTACAATTTTTTTCTGACTTCACCATCAACTAAATTGTAATTGTAATTTCATCACATTAATATTACTGATTTCTAGTTTCTTTTTTTTTTCTAATTGATTCTCATTAGTCTTGACTCTATTAGAAAGATAAATTAGTGAAAATTCTAAGACATTTTACTCTTTTATATATGATAATGTTTTTTATTGAAGAACAATTTTGTTTTTCATACCTGTAATCTGAGCAATACGTTCAAGATCTTGTCCATCTGGATTTGAATCAACTTCAAAATTAGCTTGTAAAATTTGTAATTGTTCTTCTGTAAATGTTGTTCGTACTCGTTTAGCTTTACCTTGTTTTGTATCTATAATAAAAAATAAATGAAAATAATCAAAATAAAATAAATTTTCCTTCTTATTTTTTGTTTTACCTCCATCTTTTCCTTCATTTGTTTCATTTGGATCAATAAAATGTGTTTTACATAAAACATGACTACTTTGTAAAGCAAATTCTTCGCCTGTTGATAATTGTCGTTTACATGTATTACATGCAAAACAAGCTAAATGATAAACATGTTCACGTGCTCGACGAACCCAATCACTTGGTTGAATATGTCGACCACATTTTGAACATTTATTACCAAAATGTCTTTTCATACAAAACGGGAAAAAAACAAAGACATTTAAAACAAAAAAAAAACTTCTGTTAAATTTTTACTTGTAATAATCTTGTCGACATAAAACTTGTAAACCTTTTAAAAAACAAGTTTGTTGTTTATCAAGTGCTATTTGACAAATAGCACATTGTAAACATGATTCATGATAAATTTTTGAACCAACACGTAAATAATATTGATCAGTTATGGCAATTTTACAAACAGTACACATATGATATAGATTTTGATCATCATCACCATTCTCAAACATCTTTAAAAAAAAAAAAGAGGAATTAAATCGATTTAAAAAGTTTATCTTTATAAACATTTACTTGTTCATCTTTAATATCATCCAGTAAAAGTAATTGAGTTAACTAAAGAGGAAATCAATGAAAAATAAATTATCTTACTTAAAGATTTTCCTTCTCATACCTTGTTAGTATGCACTTGATTATTAACACTTTCGTCATCCATCCGCAAGAGTGAATAGATACTCGTTATTTTTTTTTTCTCTTTCTTTTTTTATATTTCTTTTCTACTCAACTTTTTCTTTTTTCTCTCCTTTCCGGAACAGATAGACTCGCTTTTACTTCCTATTGGTTATTATGTTTATTATTATGTTGAAAAGCAATGAATGACAACCAATGAAATAATAATAATAGAAGAGACAAGAATACAAAAAAAAAAAAAAAAAGAAAGAAAAATTTCAGTATGGCATCAAAAGTTATCCTAGTTGATCAAGCGCATAATCTCAAGTGTTCAGCAAACATTGAAACGCAAGAAATAGTTGAACACATGTGATGATTGAAGTACTCTGCTATAAGCATCTCCTCTTTTTTTTCTATCTCTTCAACAAATTGACCGAATTCTCTCTTGACAAGAAAGTTTTACTAATAGAATTAGATTGCGGATTCTCTATTTACATTGTCTTGTAAATGAAACAAAACTCTCAGTTGAGAGAAGACGAAAGTCGGGAGGCCCCCAACGGCGATGAAAGAGCAATGCGCATAGTCTCGCGCATTGACATCTCATGCCAATCAAAGTTAAAGAAAAGGAAAGTGAATCGTGTCGTGGCCGGATACAAGCGTCAGGCTAATTGGAGGGAATGCACAGTTGAATAAAAGACACACACACAGACAAATAATGAGCACTAGTGAATGACACAAAACAACAAAAAAAGAACTATATATATATATTATTTTTTTTCTGACATGAGATTAATTTATTGTTTTAAATCATATAAGTTTTTTTTTTAGAATACCATTTACTTATTCCTTATATCATGCTGTCTTATTTTTTCTTTATTCAACGCCTGCTGAGTATGTTCAGCGAACCTCTTTGACACACTTAAGCTGTTCGTCTATTTTTCTATATGTATATATACAGTTGTTTCACTTGTCCTGGTGGGCAAACCAACTGTCCCAATGAAAAAAAAACATATGTAGATAGAACAAGAAGGACAACTGTCTTCTTTTTCTTTTTTATTTTATAATACGATGTAATGATCGGGAAAAAAGGACGTTGAGAATAATCTTTTTTTTCTTTTTTTTTTTTCTTTTGAAAATTAGTCAAAATTCTTTCGAGCGTACAATACATCTTTCACCGTTGTATGTTTCCTGTTCAACTTGTAATTAGACATCCGAGTTGATTTTATCAAAGAAACTAAAATCTTGATTCAGTTTTATCACTTATTGATCGATTATTAATTATATGAAATTTAGGTTTTTGAAAATCATATAATTTATTAGGAATTTCTTTTCAACGATATTGATATCATATATGATTCTAGTCATGAATCATCAGAAATTTCTAAATTATATAAAGCACAAAAAAAATAATGTTGATGTTCCTATTGAATAAACATTAAGAAATATTGCTGAAATGAAAACAAATTCTGTTTTTTTTTTTATCTTCTAAATAAATAACTTAAGAAAACGTTTTACTGTAATTTTTATTCGTCCAATATATAAATGAATGGTACAAACACGATCAAGTACAAATTTTCAAACATAAGTATTATCCTATCATATAAGTATATCTTGAAAAAAATTGAAAACAACATCGAATACAACTAAAACAACCTTTAATTAATGTTAAACAACATTTTCCATAGCTATCAAGATTCATTGCTTCTATTCGATCTTTAATTAAATCGATTAAAGTTTGTATTACACTAATAATAGTACCAAAATGCTGACGTAATGTTATATTGATAAATCTTAATGAAGACAAAGACATTTATCAAAAATAATCATGACAACATTTTTCATCTAATTGATTTATTTCTCAATAATAAACTATAGAATAGATCTTCATTTTCTTTTTCATTAAATCGATAATAACTACATTTTCTAAAAATACGAACCTTTTTTTTTCTCCATTTTTCATAAGACAAAACTATCTGCTTACAAGCAAATGTACATGCTAAAACCATTTCTTCAAGTACAATTGTTAATGCTAATAAACAATAGATAATAAATATATTAAAAATATTAACCAACCATGAATATTGACTAAGAAACTGTGCCAAACGATGACTTCATACTGTATTTAAATAATTTTCAAATGTTTCATCAACAAAATCATATGATATATAAACATATCGAATACGATCTATTGAACAATTTAAGTGTGAAAAATCATCTGAATTACAATTATCTCCTTCATTATAGTCTAAACATGTTTTAGATATTGAACTAATATTTAATTTTGTTAATGCATTTAATATAACATATGAATGAGAAGATTCATTTTGATATGATTGACCAAAATCTTGATTACAATTTATTTGATAAATAGGTCGATCCTAAACTTAATTAATCATAAATTTAATAATGAAAAGTTTGTTTTCTCTTTACCAATGTTGAATAATAAGCAAGAACTAGAATACCAAAAAAATAGCAAAACAAACATTCAGAATAAATGTAATTATAGACCAAATTAAAGTTGTTAATGCATAACTAATTGCTTTACTGGCTTCTTCAATAAGAGCTACAAAAGACAAAACAATACTTTGAAACAATTATATTACAAATCTTAATTCTAACCTGAAGCTAATTCAATTTTTTTCCATAGACAGTATGTATAAAGTATTCAAATAGTACAACAAATAATAGCTAATAGTAACCAAATAATATTGATAGGTGCAAATTCATCTAATAAAAGCATAGTTATATCAAATTTTTCACATATTAATTTTTTTTTATTTGTTAAATCTGCACGAATTATTATACTACTAGGATTATTATCTAATTCATTTTCATTCGAAGTTATATTTATTTCATTCAGATCAAGCAATCTATTATTATTTAAATATTTTTGCATTCGAATACGAGCTGTACAACAAAAACTATCAGACAATGCAAATACAATAATACATAATATTAATTATAGCCCAATAATCCATTGAGCAAAATAACGTAATAAGAACACATAGACAAGTAGAAGTATCATTGAAAAATGATACGTGATAACAAAAGAATATAACGACTTTGAATTAAATCTTCGAACATATACAATAAAAGATGTTTTATTTGTAAAGTTTTTTAAAAATATATTTAAACTATTTTGTATTAAATCTTTACTTGATATAATATTGTCATCATTCTAAATCAATATTTAATAGAAATATTATTAGTTAGATATAAATAACATACTATATTTCTACCATGATTTTTGATAATATCATTTGCTAGTTTAATTATTAGATTTAATGCATGAACAGTAATTGATGGAGTACATCGACCATAAAAAAGTGTTAATGGGAAAGAATGAAGAGTACTAAACTTTTCGTTCTTTAACAAGACTATAGGTAGATATTTTTAGATTTTCAACTTGTGATGGCGCTGATTTTTCACACTCTAATGAAAATAAAATAAGCATTATCTCAACAAAGAATGTAACAGTGGCAACGGTGCACCGATCTTGCTTACAGGCTAATGGTGATCTTGGATTGATATTGGTTCTTTCGGTCACTGGTAGAGCCCGTTGGGTCCAAAGTTTTTGGACCCGGACCCTACCAGGATCCGGTCGGATCCGGGTCCGGGTACTAGCCGACGGGCTCTAGTGTCAGGGAGACCATTTCAAGAAAAAAGACTAAAAATTTTCCGAGTTCTAGGAATTCATATCTAGAGAAGGTTTGTTGAAATTCTCGAGTTCGATTTTCTTATTCGAAAAAGATTTAATTTTCACTGTTCAGTCACGTTTGATAAAATTCAGCTATTTTCTCCTAATAAACCTATCCCGACCGAAAGAGTCGAAATGAATACAAGACTATTCTAGTTTTATCATGCGGTCACCGTTGTACCTCTAATCATTACTTCTTTATAAAAATTGATGTAAATTTGATTCTTGTTAAAAAGTATGTAGTATGTTACATAGCATTGAAAATCTTCATAAGCTGAATCGTAATTATCAAAACAAGATGAAAAAAAAAACATACTGAAAGTAGTGCTCAACTTCGTTGACTTTTATTTTCTTTATTTGTTGTTACTTTTAATAATTGTGCATTCAATTGTTTATCATGATAAAAGTCTGATGGACATTGTTTAATGCACATTTGTGGTGTTGCACATTGTACACCAACTAATACATATTTGATACATTTGATAATATCAAAAAATTATATTTTCTATCAATTTTTGTGAATCTACACCGAATAAACAACCTTGAGTACCTGTTGGAAATATAAAACGTTGTAATGAATCTTCACAGAATACAAAGATAACAAGAAGGATATAAAGAATGAGAAGAATAATGAAGATAAGTAAACATGATCAATCGGTACAACTTCCTCTCTGATTATCAAATATTGAAAAGTGTAATTTTAAACTCAATTGTGATGATATTTTCTGCTGCTTACTTACATTTCTGTTATTTTAATATGATTCATTATCTGATTAGAAGCAACCGTTGAAAGAGTCATGATGATATCGATTTTGAAGAAAACGTCACATGAATAGAATTCGATATTATTATGCGAAGCAAAACATTTATGTAGTCCTTTGCGAGTTTTCTGTTTTCTTTTTTATTTACTAGACACACCCATCAAAAGTTATCATTTTTCATTGCAATAGTTTTGAGTGCTGTGAGAGTCAGAAAAAACGCAGATAGACAATCTTGTACTGTCATATTCACGCATGGAACAAGGTAAACGTTGTTTTAATAGCATGAATCTGTAGGAAATATTTTCCCGTATATGTTCTTCGATGTGTGGATAAGAAAGTACAAGGACGTCTATCTGTAATTATTTATATATAGAAGACTATTAGAAAAATTTTCCAGCATCAAATATCTATTCCAATAGAATATCGAATGGAGTTTGTTGTGCTCTTGCTAATGGTATACTGAACAATAAAATTAGCTAAACATTATAGAAATTACGTGAAGTACAAGTTTTTCTACAGAATTTTTGACTATCTTAATAGAGACTATAGGCTGTAATCTAACGAAGATCAGATGATTCTAGCTCATCTAGTTTATAAGATATAGCTAAAAGAATATAAAATTATCTACCAGTTGAATAAATTTGATACGTAGAAGTACTCTATTATTTTATAATATTTCACCATTCTTCAATTGATGTAATAATACAAGAATTTCGATCAAAGTTATTCACTTTTGATTTATTAGATAAGTAAAACTTCCGATTCTGCAATAAATCCCTTGTTGTACTATATATTCCACTGAGAGCTATTCATTATAGACTTTTGTTTTGGCGGTCAGATTCGAACTGTTAGAACAGTTGAAAGATGATGTGAACAGTTTGATGAATGTCGAAAAGACATTGAAGAGGAAGAACTACCTACCACATCTGTAATTTAAACCGTATCTTTCATTATCACTCTCAAGATAAACTGTTATGATATTTAGTTTGCCTAAATTTTTTAAAGTTTGCAATGATCGGAGATCATTCGCTGGACAATGCCATGACTCAGATTAGTTTGCACCTGAAATTCGTCATTTGTAATATGAGGATCATCATTAATAAGACGATTGAATCTGTTTGATCTTATAATCAGCGATGAACAACTATTATCAAAATCCTAATATTATCATAGTAAATGAACAATGATGAAATATGGGTGTGGATGTAGGGTATGTATTTACATATAATGATTCGAATCCGAAGATACGAATTTATCATTTGTAGCCACCACCAGGCGTTTCAAATTCGCGAAGGATCTTATCGGGTAGTTAATACTCTGCACTTAAAGTTCATTAAAAAGAGTCAAAGGACGAATCCTTCAACGTTTTCTCTCGAACTTCTACTTTCACACATCAAAGTTAGAGGACTAAGGCTGTCCTCCGACATACAATAATTAATACAACTACGTAGAGATGTCAAATTCAAAGGATAGGTTTACATATGATAGATCTATTGCGAAGAGAAAAGAAAACCTCAATATGTCATAGTAGAGATTCAAGAGGATTAAAGAATTCGTCTTTGACTCCCTTCAATGAACTTCAAGTGGAGATTATTAGCATCTTAATGAGATTCTTGACGCAGTCAAAACATGTCGTGGTGACTGCAATCGATGAGTTGAAATCATTGAATTCAAATTATCACATGCAAACATATCCCACGTCTACAGCCACACCTTCAAAGTACATGTTAATCAATTCCAGAGGGTGTGGGCATTGGTGTGGATGAATAGAAGATCAACACCCACATACTCACCCACACCCACACTCACATCATTGATTGATAATCCAAGAATGGTGAATAGCTGTTTTTTGTTTAAATAGACATTACTTTTTCTATTTAGAAAGTCGACGCTTCTGCTTTTTTCTATATTTTTCTACGACGTCTAATATGAGTGTTTTTCCTTTGACACACAACGGCATACTTCACTTACTAATTTCAATTGAAAATATAATTGTAAACTAAGAACGAAAGAAAAAAAAACTTAACAACGTCCTTTATTTTATGGTTATTCTGTTCAACTTTCATTTGCATTTCATATGTGCAATGACTTAGGTGTCATTGCATTGAACACTTTGTCTCACTCACTTTTTATTTTCTTTGATTATTTCAGAACGACTTTTTTCTCTTTCTGGCAAAAACGATAAAAACAACACAGATGTCGTTAGTTCGATTTTTTTCACTATGCTAGTAGTGGACATGCCGATAATGTGAACAAAAGAACAAGAAAAAATACTAAACAATAGAATTCAAATCAATATTCAGAATAATATTAGCATCTGGTTTCTTTTATTATTTCGATAGGAGAAGGAGAATGGTCAGTTGAGTGGAAACTATGAACGAGAAAGAATTGTTTTTTTTTTGCTTTTGGCTGTTCGGGTTATATGTGAATAGGATAGTTTCATTTACATTCAAACTTTATTGAGACAAGTACTGCCAAATTCTTGTTGTGCTTGCAGTGAGATCAATTTCATTTTGAGGATGTGTAAATGAGATAAGCAAAATGAATATATCATCACTCACAATCTACCTAAATTGAACTTCAATGTATATTATATCCATTTGCCATATGTCTAAAATTACCAAAGTCTTTTTTCGTTTCATATTCTGATTCTCATTCGTTCTTTGATCTATTCAATTAATAAAGAAGTAATATTCAAATCTGTTTTGTTCACATTCGAGATTCGTACAGTTTGAATGTGTATCACAATATATTAAGAAATATGTTTTAATTAAAAACGATAAATATGATCAGCGCAAAATATGATTATAAAACTCATCGATCAACAATTTCTGCTTCAAATGCATGTGAAAGAATCATCTATTTTTGTCTACACTTAAGAAATAAGACAAAGTATCATCACTTGAATGTTTTCCAACAAAAACCGATTGTGATAATGAAGACACAATTCGTTTTTTTTATTCATTGAAAAGTAATAAAAACGAAACATCACTATTATAGTGCATACTTGATATCCTTGTAAAAACACAAAGTTTCGTCCCGCGAAAAAAACGTATTGATTGTATGATTATTCTTTCTAGTTTCTTCTGAAAATGCAACTACGACAAGTAAAAAAAAAATCAACAAAAATGTATATTAATCAACGAAATAAAAACAAACACTAATAAACTTTTATTATTGCTGCCTTCGGTTTTTTTTCTTCCGATCTGATTGTATCTCATCAAGAGCTTTTACCATTGTGTCTGTCCCAATACGTCTATCGAGTCGATGTATTTGAATCAATAAAAATGCATTAAAACCAATTCAATATTGTTCATTACATAGCATTCATTTCGTCTCTTGATGATCATTGCTATAAAACCATATATTTTACATAAATATACAAGCTGATTAAGATCATGTTGAAAAGATTGTTAATATCAAACAAGTGCCCAAGAA